TTGAAAGTAAACAATGAAATGTCTATTTTTTTGATGGCCTGATTCTTTCATGACTGAGCAGTATTACACAGAAGAACTAATATTCAACAAATGGTTATGTAGTTCCCATGAAATGGAAAAATGACTTCCTTATTGTGATGCATTTCCTGTACGTCAGTGAGGGGTCAATCTCAGAGCCAGCGTGGTCTGAAGCTTAACAATCTGTTATATTGAAAATAGAGTAAATGTTGACCACTCTATAGACAGATAATGTTAGTAATAAAAGAAAGTTAAGAGTTGTTGCCTCAACATCCAACTATATAAATACACTTTTAAAGACTTAAAGCAAAGGTACATGATGCTCCAATGACAGATCAGCCTTTTACTCTATAACAGGAGGATATGTGCTGTTCTTCAGGAGCAGAAACAGCCCCATAATCCAAGGTTAGACAGGTCTTGGAAATTAACAAGGTGGGTCTTCAGCTTTGTAAAAGCTCCTTGTGGTGTCACAGCCTGTGAGGGCGTGGCATGCAGGTGGACAATCACAACTCAACTCCAAGTTTTTGTGAAATGGCTCAGACTGGGACTAATGTCTCCCCCGGGCCTCATCCAGAGTGTCTCTTGATATGCACTGTGTCTCTTTGTTTTTTTATTCATGTACACAGGATTATTTCCCCATAGCCTCCTTATGATACAGTGCCCCAGTGATCAGACACTACAGATGCCATTTTAAATCGTCAATCGGGTGTAGTGTTTATAAATGTGGAGAGTTTATTTTTGATTGATGGGGAATGGTCGGATCTGTCTATAGCCACACAGTTAAAGCCCTCCTTTCCTGTAAAGGCTGCAGTCTTCCTCCAAATGCTGTCATCTCACACTGATGTTGAATGTCTGGGTCGAGGACACCCTGCAGGAGAGCCACACTATTGTTTAGCTGCAGAGAGCAGTATTCGAGGATCTTAGCACAACTGACACCACTGAACACAACACACTCAAGGCTGATCTTTTCAACTAGCACGTGAAAGGTTCTTCTGCAGGGTCTCTGTGACTCAGACATGTGACAACTCAGGTTAACAGGAAGGGAGGACTTCAGCTGTATGGCTATAGTCTGACATATGACCAGAAACAGAAACTACAGAGTGGGTGCAGGACCATCAAAGAACACTGTTATTTTAGGGGGGTCAAGATGATTTGTCAGTCAGGAGTAGAAGTCTACAGTAACCAATTCAGTATACTACGATACATTGTGATACTGGGAGCAACGTAGTATTAGCATTTCTTTAAATAAAAATAAAAATAAAATACATTTAGGAAAACTGTCATTGTATAAAGAGCACACCACCATGAATACAGTCTGACTTAAAAAAAAAAACATTTTTTAATGCAACCAGAACAGTGGGATCTGCATTTGTATGTATCACAGTTATTATGAATTAAAACTAGGTGTTACAAAAACATATTGGTTATTAAAAACAGAAACCAGACTTTAGAAAGAAATAAAAAAATGAGATGATATTGTGAACTTCACCAGCCACAAGTAGCCTTTATACACCTTGATTTACATAAAGTGTATAACTGGATTATGTAATAGCTTGGAAGAAGCATTATCTGTGAAAAAAGATATGTCCTCCATCTGTCCATGCACTAGCCCTGTTGAGCTGAGATACAATAGGACACAGATACACAGGATACAGATATGCAATGGTGCACTGCATCGTCTCCTATAAAGGCCATCATATCTATGTGCACTATTTGAGAATTTCCGGTTATTTTAGAGAAAATGTGCATATCGAGATAAAGATCAGAAATCACATTCATCTACTTGTTTTTAAATACTTTTACATTCAGGCCACCACAAATGTACTTAGGCCAGTGCTTTGAAATATTAGCAGGCTAGTTAATCAAATTTTAATTTATGTCATTTGTTCACTCTTCATCGATCCGTGTTGGTCTGACCCAGTGCCAAATCCTCCATCATTTACACTTCACTAAAGTCAGGCTGACTCTGCTGCCCACATACATGTGTTTGGGTCCGGTCCTTCCTTACACACCTATTGGATTGGAATTTTTAAATCAATTTCTGATTGTACTAGGACTCGAGTTGAGCCGGCAGCAATTTCAGTATTGTTGGGACTTCCACCTCTTACTTTACAGCTCCCTAAATATAAGGCATGTAGCATTAGTTACCTTGTTGCCAGACGACGAGGTGGAAATCTCCTGAACCGCGTCTCACTCCTCATGGATCACAGACATCTTTTACTTTGTTAAACTGTAAAAAATAAATAAATCAGGTATCATATAAGGGATCACTGCCAAATATAAGAGGATATGGGGAGCTTTCTCTGCTCATGCTGAGAGGTTGGTGTTTGCTGCCTCTCTGGAGTAATGGTTCTGATAGTGTGTACATTTGAATGACCTTATTGTACCTGTACTGGGTTTGGAATATTATTTTATTTCACATCCTTTTAGTATTTGTTTGTACAGATTTAAATATTTGGTGACCAACGTGTCATGTTTTTTTTCTTTTGATAAATGTCCTTTTAATGCATTGTTGTTTTCTACTGCACTGAAAAGCGACTCTTTGACAGCTGTATGTGATTGAAAATCTAAAAAAAACTCATGAGGAAAAAAGTAATTTATTACTTACTCTTCAAAAGTAATATTACTTTACTGATGACTCTCTGCCAACAGTGAATAATTACACTACTAGTTATAATAATCAATAGAAAAGCCTTCATTGGCTATTACAGCAATCAAACGCTTCCTATAATTGCTGACCAGCTTTTTGCTTGTCTCCACTGGTATTTTTGCCCGTTCATCTTTAGCGATGAGCTCCAACTCTTTCAGGTTGGAGGGTCTCCTTGCCATCGCCCTGATCTTTAGCTCCGTCCACAGATTCTCAATTGGATTCAAGTCAGGACTCTGGCTGGGCACTCCAAAATGGTTCTTCCACTAACCATTTCTTCACCACTTTTGCTGTGTGTTTTGGGTCGTTGTCGTGCTGAAATGTCCACTGGTGCCCAAGGCCAAGTTTCTCTGCAGACTGCCTGATGTTGTTGTTGACAATCTTGATGTATTGCTCTTTTTTTATTTATTGTGATTAGGTTCCCTGGTCCATTGGCTGAAAAAAGCATTAGGTTGCCATCACCATGTTTGACAGTGGGGACGGTGTTCTTAGGGTTGAAGGCTTCTCCTTTTTTACGCCAAATGAAGGATACATCCTTGTGGCCAAACAATACAATTTTTGTTTCATCTGACCATAAAACAGAAGAACAGAAGTCTTCTTCTTTGTCCAGATGAGCATTTGCAAAGGCCAATCAGGCTTTTGTGTGCCTTATCTGGAGAAGTGGCATCCTCGTTGGTCTGCGTCCGTGGAACCCAGCAGTGTGCAGTGTGCAGTGTCCGTTGGACTGTCTGCATTGAGACGATGCCACCAGCAGAGCCCAGATTCACCAGGATGGCCTCGGTGGTGATCCTTGGATTCTTTTTCACCTCTCTCACTATCCTCCTGGCCAGCACAGGTATCACTTTTGGCTTCCGACCACGTCCTCTGAGATTTCCCACAGTGTGGAACGTCTTGTATTGTTTAATAATACTTTGCACTGTAGCCACTGGAACTTGAAAACATTTAGATATGGCCTTATAGCCCTTTCCTGACTTGTGAGCAGCCACAATGTGCAGCCGCAGGTCCTCAGTGAGCTCCTTTGTCTTAGCCATGACTGTCCACAAACCAACTGCAGAGAGCTGCTGTTTTTCACCTGTTGAGTGGATTAAAGCAGCTGTTCCCAATGAATCAGGGTAATTAGGACGCTTTAGAACAGCTTGGACTATTTGGAATGGTATAGAACTTTGGATTTTCCCATAGACTGTGACAGTTTGTAAAGGGTATGAATAATTTTGGACATGCCACTTTTTGTTCAAATGTAAATAAAAGCTGAGAAATAATGTTTTCTACAATGATGCCTCTTGTACATCGTCCTATTATCTTTTGGGAGAAGCCTGTGTCATTTCCGGTCAAAAAAAAAAAACCACTTTCTGGTTGAATAAAAGTAACTTTAAGTCAAAATTTGCCAGGGGTATGAATCATTTCGGGCTTGACTGTACATTATATATTTTGTATGAGTTTTACAAAAATAAATTATGAAATAACAAAAACGACAGACCCATCTCAATTAGAGGGGCTGCTAATGTTTGCTGCGCTAGCTGTGCTTTCCCAATATTTATTTCTCCCCAGTAACGGTCCTCAGTGGGTTAAATATCTCTTACATTGTCCATAAATGTCAGAGTGGCCAACACTTCACCAATACAACGCAGTGTTCACCTGTCATGTGGCCTTGCTTAGTGTCAAACAGCTGTTTGTGCTCCTCCAGCAACACCTGTTCCCTGAATGAAGGTTCCTACCTGTATAAAAAGTGACCCGAAGCACAAAGGCGACAGCTACTGGACTAATTTGGTTACAGATATTTTAGACACAGAGCCTACAGTCTGGTTTAATGAAGCTAGAAACCTCAAATCCAGTCTCCCTATCTGAAAGCAATTTAGAACAGTGGTTCCCAACCTTTTACTTAAGGGACCCCTTTTCTATCACTGAGTAAACTGTGGACCCCTGACTCAGTGATATATTTTATGGAAATTCATATACATTTTCAGCTGATTATTTTCAGTTTTTTTTTATACAATTCTCTGTATTATGTATATAGATTTTTTCAACAGACAATTTCAGTGTTTCCTTGTCTTTGACACTTAGCCATTGATCTATTAGACAATGCACATTTACTTTTCTTCACAGAAGTGAACCAAACGCTGCTGATTAGCCTACTGTGTATATTTTTTAAGTTTTCTTACACACCTTAAAATCAAGAAGACCTTGCAACCACCCGTGAAGTTTTGGCGACTCCTAGTGGGGGTCCTGACCCACAGGTTGGGAATCACTGATTTACAACATATGAACATTCACTGTAGCTATGTCAAGATACATAACTCAAGTTATGTTGAGCTTATTATTAATGCACAAACAAGTATTTTAAAATAAATATATTTTATTACTTTGCCAGGACAGTTCATGGTAAAGTTAAACAGTATATGAACATAAAAAGCATATGTTAATATACAAACAAAGACAATATTTAAAATGGAGAGCTGAAACAGATTGAAGCTCAGACCTCAGAGCAGCTCCTGAGGTCGACTTCACCCTATGGGCTGGCAGCAGGGGCTGATGGGACAAATCCACAACAACCCCCACCCCTTCCCCCCTCATGCCCAGTAAGACATAACCATCATGTCTCATATTAACATGACTATACAACACTGCATATGATAGGTGGTGGGGTTCTCTGATACCGATGGAAAAAGGCGACTGTGGACAGTTTGTGATGTCTACCAAGAATACCTTCAGGACGGACAACAACAGAGCTACTGTTAATGATTGATATTGAGGTTCACAGTCATGTTTTCTGGCTCCTATAGGTGTTTTATCTAGAGTTAGACCGATATGTGGGGATGATATTGAGTTTTTAGACCTGTACTAATATATATGGTGTTTTCTGATTAGTCGAGTTAGCAAGTAAGCTAAAGTTGCGTTCATGTCGTATTGTTCATGTATTGTGAATTTCTGATAATTGGTGAAAAGAGTGTCTCCATTGCTCATGGCAACATCGAAACAATATCCAATGTTAACCAAAATTCAGTTGATTCCACAAATTATAAGGCACTGCACAATGTTGTGCTTACATGCCACTAAAAATATATAACAGAAGAAAAATATCTAATTATGCTTATATGCTTTGACTACAAGGCTAGCAAAGAGGTTACCATCTTGGAATAATGTAAAGTCAGAATACCAGAATATCATTATCATTCTTCCTGCTCTACCAACATGGCGTCAATGGCGGTTTTTCTGTTTTGGTGTAATTGTAAGGCAAAACTAAAATTCACCAACAACTCTTTTGATTGACTCTTTTTTGGCTCTCTTTTTCAACTTTGATTTTTGTTTTAGGTTAATGTTTTATTCCTGTAAATAATTTGTCAAATGTGGCCAATGTAACAACACTTTAAAGCTACAATAACTGATTGTTTGGCCACTTGGGGGCAGCAGAACAAGTTATGAACACAACACTGACATACTGTCACCTTGTAAAGTTGTTAATGGCAAACATATTAGCAAACAGTTACCTATATTACACATGTAGTGCACACAGGACAATGTTAGCAGTCAGTTGGAGTTGTGTTATACCCAAACCCCATCATTGTTCGTGTATCCGAAGATTGATCCCCCCCCCAGGACTAAATATTGGCTCAGGATCAGTGATTGGTTTGATTGGACCCCATATCGGTCGAACCCTAGTTCATTAGTTGACCTGTTAACCAAATAGCTGTCGATTGATTGGGTTTGATTGATTGACGACAGCAAATTGGCTTCCTGGCTGAGGAAGGGGTTAGCAGCTCTGTTGTTTGACATGGAACAGGAACAGAACATATCGACGATATCGGGTGCTGAGGTGACTTGGTCGTCCATTTCTTTCGTTCGTGGGCTTTTCTTTCTCATTGTCCCAAATAATATATACGTGTGTGTGTGTGTGTGGAGTATGATCTGGATGGCCAGATCAGCCCACCAAGTTCCAGTTCCTCCTTTTTTTTTTTACACTTGAATGTGAGTTGATGTTCCCAAGGACAAAAAACAGAGCGTCTTTTCCACAGAGCTGCCAATTGGAATGCAAAGCACACACCATTTATATAACATCTCTGCAGTGAGCTAGATAGTAGAGTATTACAGTTACGTCGGTACAACATTCAACAGAAACGAATAAGAGTAATTCAGCATTGTGAAGTTGTGTCCTAAAGGAACTGATAACAGTCCCTGCCGCGGTCAGTCGCCTGAAGGCTGGTCTGACGCTTCAGGGGTGGATGTGGACATTCTTCGGCTGTGAAGGTTTTCCAGCTTCAAATAAAAAAAAAGAAGGAAAAACACCAAGATGCCTCCCTTCATCTCTCACCAGGAGAGCAAGACAGAGAGAGAACCAAGGGAGAGCATTTCCTATGTTACATTGAGATAGAAGTAAGTATTCCTTAACACTGCATATCATTCTGACAGACTCCATGACATAATTCACATTCAAAAAAATAAAAACTGAAAGAGCTCTGGTTTCCCTTATGATATGTATTTCTGAGCAGGGATGGAATGCAGATGGGTTTTTATTATGTGCTGCTGAGACCCAGAACCCTTCACTGCCCTAAAGGGTTGTCTTACTTTCCTCTTTTGGATCAAATGTAAGAAGCTGAGTGACTCATCTAGTCACCGCTTCAGTTTCCTCTATAATTTAAATCTCTGCAAACATTGTGAGGCGTTCAGGGCAACCTGTATGGGAAGATATCTGTGCCAAAAAACTGTGACAAATTTTGGTTTTGAATCAGGTTTTAAATTTGCGTTGGTCAGAAACTGAGTATCATCATCATAAACTACTGTTTCCAAGACGAATCATGAACACATTTTTGAACTAGTCATTCTTTTGTCTTTCTCTTTGGAAACAGGGGGAAACAGTTAGCCTTGCTTACTCTAGTCTTTATGCTAAGCTAAGCTTGCTAGCTAACTAACTCCCAGCTCTAGCAAACAAGTGCATTTCTTGTCTAAGTTTTCCTTTTGAAGCATGGAAAATATCTTTAGTTCCATGACAACTAAGCAAACTTTCATCAGTCATCAGTTCAGTCCATGGGGTTTACCTAAGCATGTTTGCACTGTAGCACCACAACTTGAACTTGGATTTAATTAAATCCGGCTTCAATCCTGTTATAGTCAGGGCAAATTCATTTTTGATCAAATTGACAACTTAATACACAGCTTGAAATGACAAAACACAAATTCAGAAGAACCAAATTCAATACGCTGGCACAGATATCTGCTTATAAACCACCACTTTTGTGAAAACTTGCTAATTTCATGTTTAAACTAAGACTGAGACATTTAGAGTGCTCCAGACCATCATTTCTGAAATGATTCCAGAAGCGTGAAAGAATTTCCTTTGTTTGATATTAAACATTTCTGTAACGTATATCTTTTGTGCTTAATTTCTTTGAAGCTAAACCTTGGCCCCCTCTTTTGGTCGTGGAGGTTCTGCTGTTATTGTCATATTGTCCAGTTTCAGTAATACAGCTACATTTCAAAGGTTCAACATTTAAGTGCTTCAGTTAGTTTGTCCTCTGTGCTGTAAGTGAGCAACCACTTGATACCAGTGGATGTGAATGGAGCTGTTATTCAGCCAGCAGGGACAGCGGGGTAGTGAGGGATCTGGGTCCTATAAGAGGATATCATGGACTTTATTTCTTATTGTTTAGTATCACGTGTGACCTCAGCTGTGGAGAAAAGCAGCTTTCTCGGATCATCTTTTAATTTCAGCAGGACCACCTCATCTGATGTAAGACACACCGCCTACTTCCCCCGCCAATGAGATTAAGAGCTCAGTTGGATCTACTGTCCAAAGAGAAGCTTTACTCCACTGCACTTCCCAGGGGGGTTGAAAGGTCATCTGGAATCTCCTTTTGCATCATTAAATGTAGCTTACATCGTCATGTCTGAAGAGCAAGGCGAACGTTCAGAGAGGATTCGTGGATTCCACCCCACCGTGTGCTTTCTACATTAGTGTACAATCGTCCCGACCCACATGGTCCGGTCATCAGTGTGTTTTAAGGATTGCATTGCCCCCGTGTTTCACCGGTTCTAACAAGACACTTCTGAAAAGGGAGATAAAAGCGGGTTGAGGAGCTCTGTTCATAAGGCCATAACAGAGCCCATGTGCGTTTGTAGAGCCCGGTTGGTAGTACATGTTGTTAGCGGTAGATACACACTCATTAGGCTGACATTCAGGCAAAAGTCAAAACTGCCATAGGCTGTGATCAGACTGAACACTCAAACACAGAAACAAAGAATTTAAAGGGTAAAAGGAGTGCTACATGTGACCAAAATAACAAAAGGGCTACATAAAAATGACCATTGATCACAATATGCGTCTTTTTTTGGTAGTAACCCTTGTCACCAAAGTAGAGCTCAGAACATGGTGACATGAGTAAAAATATTTACAATTATCCCCTATGGGAGCTAAGGGCCTGAAGCTCTCTAAACCCCTAACCCCAGAACTCAGGAAAATAGGACCCTGGGAACATAGGAATGACCCCTCGCCTATTTGCCTCTTGGACTGCCTTTCAGCAAAAGTTCCACAGACTCACTTTACTCCAGGAAAGAGGAGATGGATGCTGGCTGGGCTTGCAAACAAGAGGGCAACATGCCAGAGAGAATCCGGATCCATGACGTCCGTTTTGAGGATTTATTTTCATCTCAGTTTCACTGTTGTTGTGCCAACATGTGTATTCCAAATTTGTTTCCCTGGCAATGACACCTTTTTAGTACTTTTTCCACTGAAGAAAGAAATCATGTGGTGGAAATTCAATTAATAAATAGAAAGCAGACTAATGGTGAAGCCAGACATCTTCCTCATAGAATCAGTGGACACTTGTGGTTACACCAGTAAAAAAGAAACCTTTTGGAAACTGATTTTTAAGGGGAAACAAACTGTGGCACAACACTGACTTGAACTTGAACTTGTTAAACTTCTCAACTGACCAGATGTTTATAATAAAGTGCGACAGTTTAAGTTGAATCATGGTCCAGTTGAAGCACAGGGTAATAGGGAAATGGATACAAAAAGCGTCCTATGTGATCACAGCCTGCTACAGAAAAATCTCTGGCATCCATCAGCTACCTCATTTTCCCGATTTGTTTTGACAATGAGGTAAACTGATTTACTAAGGAGATACAGCCACCAAATGAGTTGATTTCATAGACCGGCTTATTCGAAATCTAATCTTGCACGTCGGCTCTCGGTGGTTCATGTCAAGACTGAGAGTTAAACAGACGCGGTCAGTCTGATGAGAGTGTATCAAAGGCTTCTGCTGTTGTGCTCCCCTCCTTTGAGGGAACAGTTGAACAGACTCGGCTGTCGATATGGAGAGAAGCTTTGCATTCTGGCGGCGTGGATGTACACTCATTCATGTAGAGACATGAACCAAGAAGTGTTATAAAAACAGACAAAAACAGTTTTAAATATAGGAACAAATATAAAATATTAGACTTCCATAATGTCTATATGCAATAACATTCTACATAACTTTTTGAAGGACTTACAATTAGTCCTGCTTTAAACCTTGATGTATCGCTTCAAAGATAATATTTAAGACAATGAAAAAAGCACCACAAAATTCATCATAGAAACAGAGATCTAACCATACAATGGTATGTACAATGTACATATGCCAACAATACAAGAGATGAAGAGATGAGGACAGAGACGAGAGAGAGAGAGAGAGAGAGAGAGAGAGAGAGAGAGGAGTAAAACCACTTATCAAACTCCCGTCATGCAGATAAGAATTTACACAGGAGACCTGAGGAGTATCATCTCTGGCGGTTTGAGAGGGCCACGCCCTTCCTGTCACAGTCCCTGTCCCAGAGACACCACGCCAAATAAGAGCTCAATTCAGAATTATACACAAAGCACTGATCCTTTGAGGCCTCCGTGTTGACGATTTCTTTTTAAGGAGGGAATTTAGGGGAATAGAGGGAGAAAAATAGGATGAGGATATAAAGATAACGTAATACCAAGCAAAGGAGTTGGGGTAGAGGGGGTAAGAGGGGGTAAGAAGGGGTTGGTGCCTTGCCCAGCTCTTCCTTTTTTGTGCAAAGGAAAGTCAGAGAGAGTTTTGGCGGCACCTACAGGTGCCTCCTAGGGCTCATCGCTGGGTGTTGTGGCTGTAGCCCCTTCGGTGTCCAAGGGCTCTGGTGACTCAACTGCAGCGGTGTCCTCATTGGGGCTGCCCTTACTGCTGGGACTGGCCCCCGCCTCAGCCTCAGCCGCAGCCGAAGTGCTGCTGCTGCTGCTGCTGCTGCTGCTGCTGCTGCTGCTGCTGCTGCTGCTGTTGTTGCTGCTGCTGCTGCTGCTGCCACTGCTCTGGCCATCTTGGCCCTCTGAGTTCTCCAGCATCTCCTGGATGAGCGGTGGCATGGAACCCGGAATCTCCATCTTCAGAGAGATGACCCGCTCTGCTCCTATAAGAAAAAAATTTGGATCAACAAAGGAGCAGGACAGTTCATTCTTAACACTGGAAATAACAGAAAACAAAACATGAAACCAAAAAAACCCCACGTCCACTTACTAGATTTTTTCCTCCTTTTTTCATGATGGATGACATGATGATATACAGCCACTCAAAGGTCATCAAAGTTTCATACTTATTTCACGAGCTAACTCTATCCACTGATGAAAACCCTGGGATGTGGTCGAAAGATCCCAAAAAGTCTAGTAAGTGGACATTGAGTAACGGTTATTTTTATTTTAGTAAACTCAACATGACTTCTCTGCTCAGACATATTGTGTAAAATAACAATAAAAGAAGCAGGAACCTTTACATTCACTGTGTTTAAAAACATTTTTAGCTGCTTTAGAGGACACCAAATAAGAAGAGAAAATAAAATCAAAGAGTAAAACCTTACAAATTATACTTTTTAAAGAAAACAAAGGATTAGGAGACAAATAAAACCAGTACAAACAGTAAAAGCATCAGGAAGAACATAAGCTGGTAATGCAACCAGATAAACCTATGCAACTTTACAAAAAGGCAAGTTTAAAAGATGGGATTTAAAGAGAGATACAAAGGGGGTCAGGGAAAGTATATGTCTTCAGGCAGGTCATTCCAAAGTCAAGGGGCCCAGGTCTGCGTAGGGGCAGGATGGCCTTTGAGGATCTTAAAGTACACTCAGGCTCATATGGGGTTAACGGCTCAGCACTATGAGCCAGTCCAGAATGTGCATTAAAAGTTAGCAACAGAAAGTTCAAATCAATAGAGTTTTATAGGAAGCCAGTTCAAAGAAGTTAAAAAGCAAATTAATGTGTTGACTGTGTGTTGCTTCTCAGGAGTTCTCTACTGTTCCTTAAAGTCCCGCCTGGGCCTTTGACCTAACCCTAACCCTAACCCTTTATTACAAATAGTTTGGAAGATTTCATTAAAAGAAAAATGAAAATAGGATTTCAGACTTCACAACACTATAAGTAATGAGTAATCTGTGGCCACAAATGTGTCCAACAATGATTTGTTGCACAGAACCATCTGGGAAGTCTTAATTGGAAACTGTTTGGAAAAGGACACTGAAAGACACTTGCAAGAAATACTCTAGAGGTGATTGGATGAACCATCTGTCTATCAGCGTCTATCACAAATAAACTTTGACCAATCAGATCAATGAACCATATCATGTAGTCAAACTCTTACTGAAGCCAGTTGGGAGAAGACCAAAAACGCCATCAGAGCTGTTCTTTGCTCTTCTTACTCTCCAGTTCTGATAGAACTGATGTTAGCAGCATCTACGCTAACCTCTTTTAGTCCACCACCGTAGCTGCCAGTACTTCCTCAAAGGATGCTCATTGGTCCACTGTATGGACCACATAGGCATAGATTGAAACCAGTCAAGACTCTCATGTGACCTTGTGAGTCCATCTGCCTCGCAGGGTTAGCAGTGATTGGTCAAGTGTCCAGAAGCATTAAAAAAAATAGGCAGCGTTTGAGCTCCTTTCTAGGAGGTAATTGAATTTGTTTGTACACGTTATGTCAAGATCACAAAGACAGAGCAGACCTTTCCCACGAGCCTTTGTGTCAATCACTTGCTGTAGTTGTACAACCGAGTTTGATTGAGGCATACTAAGACCTGTGGCAGACCTAGAATGACCCCATTCTATTGTCATTTTTGACTGTGATCCCCTTTATGTCAACGGTAAGCCAATATCATTCCTACCTTTAGCGCTGATGCTGCGCAGGTCTGTGATCTTCATCAGGGTTTTGGGGAACATGTGCGGTTTGCTGGGCCGACGCTTCCTCACGTAGATCTTCAGAGCCTCCAGGAGCGGCTCCTGGAGCTGGTCCACCTTGGAGGGCTCCTCCAGATCCTGACGATCTGAAACACATACACACGAATCAAGTCAGACTTGAGGCTCAACAATGACAAATCCATGCCATGGCTTTATCTGATTGAGACCAGCTAGAGGCTAATACATGTATCACAGCATGAAGCCTGGTTTGATTAAGAAGGAAGACTTTATCTCATTATGTCAACTCATTTGCTGCCGAGGAGATTTTGCAGAGATGGTAACAATGAGATAACTTGAGCGGAAAACTCATTTGAATCCTTTCTTTTTGAGTTGGCGTGTTAAGCTCTGATAACTGAGGTTTTAAAGTCTCAAACAGCAGGGAGGCACACTGAACGCATCAAACCCAATCAGCAGACACGGTTTTCAACGCCATGCATCTATTCTGAGAGCCCTTTGCACACAGTGATTATTAGGATGACTGCTGGTCAATGCTCTCTAAATAGACACGCTGGCTCAAATCCCCCACTGAAACATGGACCTTTTAATAGGCTCCACAGTCCTTGTGCATTCATCATGTTTCAGGTTTTATTTGGTTTAATTATACGACTTGAATATGCATAGTGTATATACTTTATATATACACTATATATATATGTATATATATATATACATTCATTTATATGTCTATATCCATTTATAGTCTAATATTTTGTAATATTTTATTTTGTGATATCTTGTTGTACTTCCACTTCTGTACTCTATTTTGCACTACATTGCCCTATGCTGCTGTGTCAATTTTGAATTTCTCCTAAGGGGAATCAATAAAGGAACATCTTATCTTATCTTATCTTATCTTAATGTGGACCTTAATTTCTATTTTTATTGCATTATAATTTCTCCATCATTACACAACCCTAGCTAACCAGTGTTGGATATAGCATTTTAAACTTGTGCATTCTTCCAACCCAAGAGGTAATATTACATCTTCAAGCTGTCCTTGCAATAATATAGTGGCAGTGCTACAAATAGTGGATTTCTTAGTACTATTACTTTAAACTAAGGCTGTACAGATTTCCCCTTCTATATTAAGGAAAACAATGCTTTATTACAACTTGGATTTTATTGTAGCACTGGCATGCATATATTGGTTAAAGTAGTGTAATTGGTGAGATCTAAAGTGCTGAAGGTCCTTCCAACGGGGAAAGAAACATGAGCCGTCAGATGATCAGGCAGGTTTTAAAAGCTCCCCAAGGTTAGTCAGACTCAACTGGATGAGATTTTTGGTTTTACCTCCTGATACAGTGCTAGCTAATCTGGAAAACTGTCAACATGTTTGCAGTCTGTCTGACTGCATGTGATCATAACTGATAGAACCGATGGCCAGATGGAAAAAAACATATCAGACAAACATTATTGTTCCATGCAGAACTGTAGGCTATATAGGTCCTGATACATGTCTGGAGGGGATCTTTAAATAGTAGTAGATATAAACTAGTATCTTTAAATATGTTTTATATTAGTATAATAATGTTTTAGATATTATACATGAATTGGTCTGTTTTGAAAATGTCATGTAACACACTGAAGATGACTGAAGAAGTTTTATGTGCACACACACATGCACCACACCATCAGGCCACAAGGTGACAGTGTGTGCACTGAAATCAGCAGCTGCTGGACCTGCTGTCACAGTGTGTGATTACAGATGCAATCAGAGGTGTTCTCGCACTGTCCACGGATTATGCAAGAGCCTGTAATATTTGTCAAGGCTCTGGGGATTGAGTATATATATATATTTATATATATTGAACCTGAACCTGAACCTGATTGTTGGATGAAATCCCAGCAGCAATGGAGCCTGAGCATAGGTGCAGTGGTAATGACAACTGAAGCTGAGTAACTTTTGGTGGATGTACAGTAAAACTTTGTGTGTGTGTGTGTGTGTGTGTGTGTGTGTGTGTGTGTGTGTGTGTGTGTGTGTGTGTGTGTGTGTAAGGGGGAAGAAGACAGAGACTAGTGTGTTAATGTGTGTGTAGCCTGACATGAGAGAGAGAATCCTGCCTGGGGTATCTTGGTGGAGAACAACCAGAGCGGGCTTATTTCCTCTGAGAGGGCAGTTCAAACAATCCACTCAGCTCACTGACGCTGCTGTGACACACCTGCACGTCATCCCCCTCTCCTCACCTCTCCTCTCCCCCCCCCGCCACCCCCATGTTTGGCAGTCAGGATAGTGCTGCCTCACTGATAGCAACCTGTGGTTGACCTGGTTTCAGACTCCCGCAGAGGCTGGCTTACTTTCATCCCAAACTGGGCTGTAGCTCCACTCAATATTTAACTGGAGGAATCAATACGGGCTGACTATGTTGAATGGGGTGCAGTCGAGCATGGTTTGAATGTGGAGTGGATCAGTTTATTCATTCCACTTGATGTACTCCACGACTACACTGTCAAGTCTGTTTCTATCTTTAAAATTAGAATTTGTGCTAAACATATGATGTAATCAGGCTGCAAAAAGCCTTTAACTTGACATATTCATCTGGCAGGAGTGTTGTGGGATTGTGCACTGATGTTTCTTGGCTGCAGCTGCAGATATCTGATACTTTATAAAAGTGTTTCCCAACCCTGGGATTGGGACTTCCCAAGGGGTCACAAGCTAAATCTGAAGGGTCACATAATGATTAGATACTGAAAAGGAAAAAATATATATTGTTAGTTGTTTTTAAGTCCAACTGAAATTAAATTGCATGTTTTTTTTAAACATACAGATTTGATCTGTAATATTTTTGGTTTCATAACTGTGTCCCTGTATTCTTTGTCTTTGTGGACAGAAATTCTTTGCACATAAGCGATGAAATCATTTCACTTTAAAGCAAGCAAGTTTGCTGAACAGCTGCTGCAGGGGCTACAAGGGGTAATGATAATAATGGCACCTCTCTCTATTTTTGTTGATCAAACCTTTAAAATGTTTATCTGAAATATAGTGTAGAGGCAGTGTTGCTAACTTGGCGACTTTCTTGCTTGATTTAATGTTTTTTCCAGCCCTGTGCATGCTGCATGGCTCCACTTGCTCACAGCGCTGGGGTGTGTCCTTATAGCTTGGAAATATTTAGTTTATTCTTCTCTTTCCCTTTGTAGATTTTACTTAACTTCAATATATATATATATATATATATATATATATATATATATATAATGATTTTTCTTTTATATGAATTAAGGTGATCTCTCCCTCACTGCAAATGACACGACCACTGAGCATTATGCAAATGAATGCATGAAGATGTCATCAATACGCAAATTAGCCCACCTGACGACTTTCAGCAACTTTTGGAGCTAGTGCTAGCTACTTTCAATGGAAAACACTGACTAATAGAAGAAGAGAGAAAAGTCATCACACTAACTCATTCATTCAATTCTCTCTCTCTCTCTCTCTCTCTCACTCTTAATGCTGCAAGAGACAGATAATCTGTGAAACAATCAGGTTCCTCTGGCTCCTCCTAGTGCTCCAAATGGTATTTGCAAGAATCCACCGGGCCTGAACAAAAACAACCAATCAGAGCCAAGGAAGATAGAAAGACTCTTTGGGTTGGAAGCTTAAAGATAGTTGATTGTTGATTGTCATTCCCAGGGTCCCAAAGCGTCTGCATTTGACACTGGAAATGAGACTCAACGATCAACTATCTTTCTCAAGATATAGTGAAAGGTCTCCTGCAGCCGATCATGTCATTGTTGTCAAATCTGTTTTCCTCTCTGCTGATTTCATTTCAGTGCGAAATCTTTGTGACCCTCCTCCATCCGATTCAACTCCATTTCATCATATCCAGTGCCCAGGCTAGGAACTCTCATTTGCTAACATTAACTTAACATTAACATTAAACTAGTGGTCATACCAAGTAAAACTGTAGCAGCTTAAGTGTAAAAGTGTAATTAACCTATCAAAGTTATATTTGACTGTTTATGAATTCAACTTTTAATTTGTGTTATGTCTTCTTTAAGTTACATAGTCTTTAAACGTATCTGTCACCGCTCAACCTTTACTTTGCTGAGCAGCTGTGACACAACACAAAAATAGCCTCAGTTTATCTAGCATTGACACATGTCTTGTGTTGCACCTCAGCTTGTTGAAGAAGCGGCCAAACAAACTTGAACTGCGGTTGAAGTGCATCGCTAACGTCGGCAGCTAATGTACTTGTTGACTGCAGCACACTGAACAGCTTAAAAACGTACCTGCGAATAAATAATAATAATAATAATTTGAGGATCACTTCGACAATGATTTTACCTGCAAAGGTTGGACCCGCAGTCTGAGAAAGGAATATCATTCTTTGAACTGCTCCAAACCTATACACAACGTGTGATTAAGGAAGCAGTGCTTTACACTAATATTTGTGTCCTTTCCTTTCTTATTATATTCTTGTCCTTCTTTCCTGCTGCCCCCTCCCATCCCTCCCCCTCCCTAAATGCCCAGCACTCTGCCCTGGCACACCCACCTCCAGAGATGAGACAGATGGCGCTGAGGAGGCCTGTCTCCGTGTCGTCCATCTCAATGGGCAGCAGCTGGTTGGCAAAAGTGAACACCAAGTCGGTGAGCGGGCCGAAGCCAGCGTTGTGCATCTGCGTCCGGTTGAGGGTCAGCCCGTCTGAAAAGGTCATAGTGTCCTGGTCGGGGGTGTACCTCGTACAGATGCGCAGGATCTGACGGGGGAGGGAAGGAAGGCAGGGAGAGGATTAGTCAGCAGGGATTTAGTGGACAGGAAACTTAGTGATATACAGTTAGAGTGTTGGTCTATAGAGATGAAGCTGCAGATAGCTGAAATTTTTACTGCAAAATCTGACATGCAACTGAGAGTTTTATTCTTGTCAGAGTGGAGGAGGTTAAAAAAAGCCATGAAATCATCATCTGGACACTAAATCTCTCCACTAAAAGCCTCTGAATATCAGGGTGAAAGTCATCAATCTTCATTATAGAGTGTTAGAGCAAATTGGTGAAACATATCTGTGTTTTTCTTTTGTCCACTTCTCTTATTTTCTTGAAGCCCATGGCTAATTGTTTTTATTTCAAGCTTTTTATCAAACACAGTCTGGTCAAACCAACTGTTTGACCTGATAATCCATATAATAAACCAGAAAACAAAGTATGATTTAATGATACTCCATTCTTATAAGGCATTATAAATGGTTTATAAGTTGTAACTAATGGTTTTATTAATGGTTAACAAATTATGTAATAATGCTTTATACATCAGTTATATAGGAATAAGAACAACTTTTAGGTTGCCAGGCTGTGAAAAATAAGGATCTGCACCTAAATCATGTATTAACAATTTAACAATTTATTAATGGATTATCTACATGTATAACTGCATCATTTACAAATAAAAATAAGGAACACTGGACAAAGGAATTTCTGCACAACTTGGCAACCCAAAATGTGTTGTTATTAATGTTTGCAACTGATCTGTAAAGCATTAGTAAGTTATTTATTAACCATTAATAAAGCCATTACTTAAAACTCAAACCCTTTATAAAGGGTGCATATTAGCATACTTTTCTTATCATGCCTGTAATATTTAGACAAAGTTTACTCCGATGAAGAACAGCATCACAGAAAGACAGTCTTATAGTTTATCCTGAAAGTGCTGGAAAACAGCACTACTCCAGATCTATAAAGGAGTAAAGCAGAGACCAGCAACACGAGGAAGGAAATTAAGTTGAAAGTGTCCTTATAAAGTCAGGGTGAGGGTTTCAGTATGGGGCTGGTTGATATATGGAAAAATATTATATATGTATATAAAAAAAATATATATATAAATATTATATAATAACAAAAAAGAATGTATTATGGTATCTAAAACTGCTAATACTTTTTTATTTCATAGGTCCAGTTCTTTCAGATTTTGCTCTCACCACCTGTTTGTGGTGCTTGCAATATTGAAAATGTTCATTTAAAGCTGAACTTTGTGTATTAAGAAAAAATTAAAATAACTGTGTAATGTGAAAGTTGTGTTTTCAATTCTGCAGTTCCCTCAACTTTGCAGAGCTTTTTAGCTCCTTTTAGCTCATTGTTTTGGTTTTACATCTGATTTACCTGCTTGGCAGACAGAACATAGTGGAACATTTAGCAACTTTATGGTGACAATATATCAGGTAATGTGTTTTCAGCTCCCCCTAAGTGGCCAAAATAATCAAGTAATGCAGCCTTAGAAGTGAGGACACACGTTTGTGTGTGTAAGTTGGGTGAAACATGCCTTTTATCAGAATCACCTACCAGGTGTAACTACCGCACATGTTGTCTTATTTTCATTTTCAGAGTTTCAGATATATCAGTGAGACTGATGTGTCAGAAGTCTGGACCAGGTCTAACAAGTTTCCCATAAAGAGCCACAGAGACGACAAGCACAACAATGACCTTCCACACACTCAAAGAGAATAACCTTTGGGTCTCCCTGCTGCACTGCATGTGTGTGTATGTGTGTGTGTGTGTGTGTGTGTGTGTGTGTGTGTGTGTGTGTGTGTGTGTGTGTGTGTGTGTGTGTATGTGTGTGTGTACACCTAATGAAGCATCTGATGGTGGATGTGAAGCCTACAGTAGCCTTTGAAGCTATTTGAGTGGGCTGGCTCTGACAGTGAGTGGCAGGCGTGTCTGCAACATGAAACAGAATAAAACATGGCTACTGGCGGTGACTCGCACCGGCTGGCCAGGCCTTCGTTTAGACACACACAGACACACACATACACACACACACACACACGCACACATATATATACACGCACACAGTGTTTGATCTTTCCTCTGACACTCCCGCACCCAGCTATTGTGCACAATATCTACGCCCTTCACCACAGAAATGTGCTGGTGAGCGGATGTTGATGGCTGAGCAAGAGCCAGAAAGTCATCACAGCCGGCCTTCAACTTCTCACCTCTGTGTCCCTGGGAGTTCACTTCACTGCTCTGTCACATCTGACAAGTATGACTTTGTCAATACAAACGCCACCGAAACTGAAGCAGGTAAAAACATACATACATACATACATACATACATAAATACATACACACAGACACACACACACAAAAAAAACCCAAATACCGCACGTGCAGCAAACTAATCCAGGTTGTGTCTGTATATGATTTCCTTTGCATTTTTCACTTCACATAAATATGCATCTTCATGCATTAATCATAAGTTTTGCATTCCCTCACCAAAATGCAGATCATCCTGCACCTGTCTGTCTGTCTGTCTGTCTGTCTGTCTGTCTGACTCTCACTCTCACTCTCACTCACTCACTCAGAGCCGAAGGATCTGTCCTAGGTTTCTGCCTCTTAAAAAGGCAGTTTTTCCTTGCCCCCGTCGCCAAGTGCTTGCTCATGGTGGTACTGTTGGGTCTCTGTAAATAATGTTATAAGGAGTTCGGTCTAGACCTGCTCTATTTGAAAAGTGAGATAACTTGTTATGAATTGGCGCTATACAAATAAAATTGAATTGAACAACCCCAAAAAAGCCAGTGAATTCCTGGAGGGACTGATTAATGTACAATTTACTAATACTTATAAGCCAATAAACACTTGGGTTGTCAGGTTGTTAAAAATCATTTTAGATAATGTTCATGTTTGTTCTAGTAAGTGATAATGCCCGACCAGGTGTCCAATATCAGGAATTAATGGATGACAGAGAGGCCAGAACTGTCCGACATGCAGCCCATTGGTGTAGCCCATTGGATGATCATTGCCATCCCCATAAGGCTCTAATGCAATGGAAACATTGTACACTAATCCAGTAAATAGGATTATAGCCTGTGGTGTACAAAGGATGAGCACCTAAAGGACTACACTCAGTTTGTTATGTGAAGCACTTTGGGCTGCATGTTTGTATGAAAGGTACTAAAGTTGAGTTGAGTGTTGTAAGATTAGTTTATGAGATATTTAGTTTTGTTTTCATTCAATTCATTTCAGCGCATTCATTTAGAACTGTGACAGTTTCACTAGAACTACTTAGTAGGTGTCCTACGTCAGGTATTAATGGACACCCTGCAACAAATCACCGTCAAGGTGATTTAATAACCATTAGAAAAGTCATTAGTTCCTTTTTTCATGTGTTCAAGTGGTAAAGACAGAGACAGGAAATTATGCAACAAAGGTCCCCAGTTGGAATCGAACTGACTCAATCTAACCGGAAACAGACTCAGTTTTTAAGAAGCACACTACAGTCTTTAGTTTTCTAAATGTGCTTTCCAAACTTCCAAGCAGATGGAAGCAGATTTCCATCCCTTACACTGAAGTATGGAAACCTGTAGAGACTCAAAAGTTGCATAATCACCACAGTGAAAATTAGTCATGCTTCTATTTTTGTCAGTTACATAATCCTGGATGTGTGGTCATGCAACTGAAAGTCTGTGAGAGAAACAAAATCAAAACCAGCCTCACCACGTGACTGTATGGTGATTAAAGGCTGATAGCATGGAGGTGACGTCATCAGGCCCTGGCGGAGCACTGTGGGCATGTCGTTCATGTGCACCTTGACCTTCCTCAATAAGCTACATAATAATAATGAGCCACAGTGCACACATGCAGTTAGCTAACCTCACTGTCTGCCAAAGCATGGGGTGAGAATCAGTCGGTTTCTATGGTGACATTATACCGAAAAGTTTTTGCTCCTCAAGAAGGGGCAAAGAGAACAAGACAAAAGAAAACTCTAGCCGTCTGAGTGGTTATGCCCAAATATAAGACAGCTGTTTGCAAAGTCAAGGAGAGAAGGTGTCTCTACTATGCTGACTGGTTTTACACACTAACAAGTGGCCTGCTGCTGCTGCTGCTGCTGCTGCTAGCTCCATCATATACTTAACCTAAAGTCTGTGTCAAATTGTGAGAAACAGTCAGGGCAGGTTTTATTACTTCTTGTGGACCACATGCAAGTAAAGGCTTAACATGGTTTATTAATGCTTTAGTTATAAACCGTTAATGAGGGGTATTGCCAAACCTGGCACTTCTAAAGGTGTTCTTATTGATGGCTTATAAAAGACTTATAAAGCAATAATAAATTATTTAATCATTAATAAAGCCATTCTTTTAACTTGACTTATAGGAAAGGGTACCAAGACTTTAACACACTGTGAAAGGTACTTAATGTAATCAAGCTTTTGGTTTTGCTCATTTTGTTATATTTCATATTATGAAATATCACCAAGCAGATATTGAAATTGAATGATACTATTCTTAATTAAGGGAATAGTTCAGCATTTTTTGCTTCATGTTTGAAACCACTCTCATACCAAGTACCAAGGTACCAAGGTACCTTGTACCAAGCGACAACATCTGTGGCTGCAAATGAATCCAACAGAAGTACCAAAAGCTGCAGTTCCTCGACCTGCCCAACTTTACAGCAGAAATAAACATGTTTATAGTCTGGTCCAAAAAATGCTCAGCTTAGCATAAAGACTTGAGACAGGGGGAACTAGCCTGGCTGTGTTTAAAGGAAGATATTTTTTCACTTGTATTTCTGTATGCAATAAACAATCGACATCAATTGTATCAATTCTCAAAAACAAGATTTTTGTATTGCAACCCCAGAGACAGCAGTGTGGTAAATGTAAACTGAGGGCTTTGATGTTACAGCGACTGTGAAAAATACAATGCAGATCCCACTGTTCTGGTTGCATAAAAAAGTCAGCTCAGATTTGATGCATTATGGTGGTGTGTTCTTTTATACTATGACAAAATTAGATTTAAAAAAAAATTGCAATATATCCCCCTGATTACAGTATTGCACTATACTGTATTGTGATACATATCGTATTGCCAGATTCTTGCCAATACACAGCCCTACGACACACAACGTGTTACTCAGTGCTCTTTGGAGTTGCTGGAGCCAGGCCGGACGCCTCGCCTTGCCTCCTAACCTTTATGCTAAGTTAAGCTAACCGTCTACTTGCTCTAGCTTCATATTCAGCATAGAGACATACAATGGGTGATATATATCTTCTTATATAAGTCTCTGCAAGAAGTGTAAGGAAATGTATTTCTCAGAATTTTTGCATTCAGTGTACTTTTCTTGTCAAAAAGTAACAAGAACTACTGTATTCTTTTCCAGAATTGAGCATGACACTCTCTATTGAAATCCTTGACAGTATAATAACACTAAAACTACTCATACTACTAATAGCCTCTTAATATTACTAGTACTACTGAGAGTTGAAATGTAGTCCAGCTTACAAATTATGACCATATGACACATAACAAGCCATCACTTTCTTCCCACTTTCTCTTCCTTCCTCTCCCTCTGAGCAATGAATGCTAATCAGATCATCCCCCCTCCCAAACCCACAACAGCCAAGCATGCATGAGAGAGACAGAAGAGGAAGAGAGACAGCCATTTGCCTTTTTCCATCTCATTACTGCGGCTACATTAGTACAGTACATTGCTCCACTTAACAACTCCTAAATAACAAACATTCAGCCGTCCGACTCTGCATGTAGACATTTCCACATCTGTGCTCCATAAAGAACACACGGCATCATTAACAAACTCAACTCAGAGCCAGCGACTGCCTGATATTCAAAAAAACAGACGACCGTCCCCAAAAAAGATTAGAGGCTGAAAGATGTCTCTGTGTGCGTAATCTAATCTCCGCTACAGACAGCTACTCCACATGAAGAATCAAAATCGACTGGCGCGATCAATTAATCGGATCTTCCTGACTCCCATTGGCCAGCTGAGTAGGTCATCCAATAAGGTTTGAGGATTGGTCTGATGGGAGCTGGGCTTGAGGTTAAACCCACCGGTCCCCAGGAGACCCGAGGCTATCGATCCACTGCGCAGCCTAAACGAATGAATGGATTCTTACACACTGAGGAACAACAGGGAAATTAGCAAATAAATAAGAGAATACACTGAAGTAGACAACTCCCTATCTGATGAAGAGCTATGTTTATATAACTGTGTTATGTAAGTGCTGTGAACAGTTCTGGGAAGGTTTTTAGCTCATTACTAAATATTTTAGACTCTACTGAAGAAACATCTAAACTGTGTATCTTACTCTTTTAAAGGGAAACTGGTTCACAGTATGATGACTAATGCACATTAAAAGGCAGCACAGAGACTGGAGCACTGTGCACTATGCAAACACATTTATATACAGAATGTAATATCCCAAGACCAAAACAGTTGTTTTGTTTTTTCTTTTTGGCCTATGTATAGATTTTTGGTTTCTAAATGATTGGAACATTTTGGAAAGGGGACATTTGCACAGACGTGTGCTCAAGTAGACATACTGTACCTATCAAACACAGTACAAATAGCAGTGTCTCAAATTTACTGTCAAAAAGTACTTAGTGAACATTATTAACGAAGCCAGCTGTATTCTTTACTAGCACATTTTGATTTGTCTAGAGATGATGCATGCCAGAGACAACAGGATCAACGATCTACCAGACATTGGCAAATTACAGATATTCAATTTTTAATTTGGACATCGATTGGGGCAGAAATTAACGTCATCATGTGTTACCGATTGAGCTTGTGTCAAAGAGTCAAGAGAAAAATGAGCAAGGAAATTCATGCTTGACCTTTAGGAACTGTGCGTGTAACAACAAATCTAGCCCTAGAGGGTGAGGGTATTGTAATCAGCAACTACAACGCTAGATGCCACTTAATCATACAAACTGGTCCACAAATGGTGAAAAAGAAACATTTGATTTGTGTATGCAAAGGCCTTATGCGTGTAGTACTCTTTAAACATGCTACATACTAGCATGAACTACTGTTAGAGCCAGAACAAACATGTTTTCCTCATCATTGCAGTGACTTAATTTTGTTGTTGGGCGAGAAACATGTCCTTCCACCACACAGTGTTTGTGGTTGCAATTACTAGGCACATTGTCATGTATAGCTGTAACTAGGCCATTCAACCAGGTTTTTTAAGTTGCAGTACCTATAGATTGTTAGATATCAACTAACTTCTTGTTTTTTCACTGTGATGTTTGAGCTTTACTGTGCAGAATGATGAATAAGCAGAGTGTGTTTTCACGTTCTTTCACATTCCACACTTTAACAACAGAATGGCGAGTCTCATTCCTTAAACAACGAGTTTGTCCCTCCAAAATAAAAGCACCTACCAGAATGTCCAGGCAGGCAGCTTTCAGGAGCGTGATCTGGTCTGCGATGGTCAGCCCCGTGAAGCCAGGCACTCGTTTGGCAAATTCCACGATCTTGATAATGCACTTAGTGGCCAGCTCGCTGAACTTGTCCCACAGGCCCAGGTCCAGCCTCACACGGTGGTCTGCACTCGAGTTCTGCAACACGCACACACACACACACACGCAAACACACACAGACAGAGAGCAAGGCGTCAGGCAAAGAGGCAGCTACTTTCGTCATTGCACAGACTGCTGCTAATGATCTCCTCAGTGCACCCTCTTCACTGTGCTCTATATGTGTCACACTTACATACAGTAAATAGGCTCCATAAGACCTGAGCTCTCAAAAACACTGGCAGGATTGTTGTTGTGAATACGCCGAGCTGAGCCGGGTGGCCGGGCCCTGCGATAATGAGCGTAACAGTGTCAGTGGGATGCTTTGGCAATGATGGGATGCAGAAACAGAGCTGTGACAGGTAGCACAGAGCAGTTTGAAGCCAGAGGTGCCATTAATACAGCTATACGGTCCAGAACCTACACAAACACTGGAGGGGAGCGGAGATGGGTGGAACCCAGGGAGCAATGAAGACATAGTCGCAGATCGCAATGTGCGGAACGAGGAAAAAGTGAAAGTAAAAGTGCTGTAAGACACTAGAGAGAGGAAAGAGAGAAGGAGAATGACAGATGAAAGGGAGGAAAGTTAAGTATGTGAGAGCAGAGAGGAATTGTGGGAGCGGGGAGGGAACAGAAGCATGAATCCTGGGAGTTTTTCTCATGGGAGGTGATGTGTAAGCTGAGGTGAGATGCATAAGTTTGTTGATTTATGGCTTTTGATTGTGTCATCCACCTCTGATATGTTCAGATTATTGTTCTAGATCTCTAACTTACAACAGCATCAGTTTTGAAGCATAATTCCACTTTGAAAATTTTACTACTACTTATTTTTGTCTTATTTTGGTAGTTTTGGTTATTATTTCTATCAGTTAAGTAGATACTCCACGTTAATTGCTGAGATCTGGTAAAACAGCGTCATCAAACAAGTAAAGAAACATAAGCAGCCAGATGATCAGACTGCAACCAAACCAACAGTAGCAGTGTTTCCATCCTACAAATTTCAATATTTAACTGAATGTTGAGAAAATCTGCAAATTTCTACCCACTACCGTTACGCAATTATTAGGAGTTGGTTCACGAGATAAGCAGTAGGTGGTGCCAATCGTTTAGTTCAGTTAAACAGTGAAAAACAATGCAGAAAACAGGATGTAAATCTGGCATTGACATCGGACATGTTCTTTCATGTATTAATGTGAGGAAGGTTCCATCAGATCAGCAATCACGGATGTATTAAAGAGCCATGGGAGCGATGAGGAGACTATCGGAGCGGAAACAGCTGACTGTGATTTAAATGATCACTACGTCACAACTTATTCAGAACTTCCATCTCCAGCTCATTAACTCTTTTTCTATGCACATCAAAATACGTTGATGGAAACACAGTTAGTGTAGCTAATGATCTATACCACTTTATTTGGTGGTTAAAGAAAATCGAGTGCAACTGAAATGTTGGTATTATGTGACAGAGTTCTACTTCCCTGAACCAGCCAGGTCCCCACAAGGCATTGGGTTTTGCGTTGTACTTGGGTTGTTTTGTTGTGTAAAGCTTCAGGGCCTAGGCTACGTTCTGGTTTATCTGCCTTTGTGTGTTTTCATGGACACAGACACATTAATGAGTAATTTGGTATGTTCTTTATTTATTAGCTCCATCATTATTAGCAGTTTGTCTGAGATAAGGAATAAGAAAGTGGTGGATGGCAATGTTTAGTCTTTACTATGGACTGGACATCTAGTAGTCTTTTTAATTATCAGTTATTCTGTTGAGTAATTTTCCTATTAATCCCAAAATGTTTCACAAAATAATTTATTCTATATTACCGTTGGGAAAAAAATATGACAAAGGTGAAGCAGTGGAGTAATGAAGAAGCTGATTTTCCATTCAGGCATTCAATGTTCTACTAGAATTTGCAAATATTCAAATATTTCCCCCAGAGTTTTAGTCTCTGTCTCTCTTCTTTACTCAAACTGATATATCAGCTTGGCCTTATTTTCCACAAAGTATTTTTGAGTGAACAGTGAGCAGAGCTGCTCTGAGTTTGAAATGGCAGGGAACAGGCAGGAGGAGAAGAGGAAGAGAAAAAAGAGGAAAGAAAAAGGCCATCAGAGCAGAAGATATGATGATGGACAGACTCAGAGAGGCAGAGGGGAGAATGAGCAGCAGTTGGGGAATTGTTTGGGTGTAGCGAGGGGAAAGCCGTGGTGTGCTGGCTGATGGCGGGGATGGAGCATCTGATGATCATTTGTTTGTTTTCTGATGGTTTACATGGAATAGCCCATCTGTTCTCCATGAGCGAGTCTCCACATGTAGCAAGGACACAGCACACAGAGGATGGGCTGACATAGACCGTCACTAACACACTGAGGAGGGAAGGGTCTTTACACAATCTACTGTGTGTACAGGCTGGACACCAGAAAAGCCAAGACAGGACCAACTGGTGGTTGCTTTGACCTTTAAATCTGGAACATCTGGGGGTTTTTTTAGCTTTTGACCTTTACTGACTTTTCCTTCAAGGTGATCACACACACACAAGAAAACACTATTCCTACATGTTTTCCAATTCATTTCAATAATATAGTCTATGCTAGCAGTTCAGGATGCACTGTGTAAAGAGGTGCTTTGTGCATGTTAACATCAGCATGCTAACATGCTCACACTGACAATGCTAACATGTTGATGTTTAGCAGGTATACTGATTAGCATGTTAGCATTTGCAAATTAACAATAATCACAAACTACATTGGATACATTGTCTGGGTACCGTGAATGTTCATACAAAATCAATCCATCTAATAGAGTTCTCCAGGATGATGTCTTTTTTGTGGGCCAACCAGGAGGTTAGCATCACCCTGGTTCCTTCAACAAAAAGCCAATGGGATTTTTCCATTGGCTTTTGGATTATTGCAAAAAATAAGCGATTGGCTTTAAGTAAAAAGCTAACATTAGGCTATAAACAAACTGCACCACAGTAGCATGACTTCATCATCACCACCACTAATTAGTAATTCAATCTTGTATTTAAAATCTACAAGTTGTAAAGTTTGAGTTAGAATAGTTTGCAAGAGCGCGAGTACAAACACAACGAGGCTGTAAAGGCGGACGAGTGAGTAGGTCGGTCTCTGTGTTTAATGTCACCAACAACCTTTGTAGTCCCATTTAGCCATTTGTTAGCAACCGCCTGTTTTTAAGCACATAAAAGCTTCAAAATTCACCGCTGGAGTATTTTCTGATGTATTTTATGTCATAGAACAAAACGTGATTCAGGCATCTTACCTAAAACCCATTCAAAAACTTTGAGGCGAAAGAACTGGAAGTGCTAAAAGGCTAACTAAGTTCCAGCTTTAAGGACTCATTCTGCAGCACTATCACACTTTATTTATTTGGCTAGCACTTATTAAGTTTTCCTTGAAAACTATCCAAATTCATCACAAGCTTCTGATAATCAAAACTATTACATTTGTTTTAATTTAGGAGAAGCATCCTCAAAAGGCAGGTGTGTGTTAAAGGGTCACTCCTACTGATTTGGACATTTCATTTCCTCTCAGGCGCAGTCAGTGATTCAATTGTAAGGGTCGGCAAGATATGAAACACAGGGTTGTGTGCTGCAGCCACAAACAAACTGAACAATAAATCTTTATAATACAGGGACTAACACTTGAAAACATCTACAGTAAAGATACTTTAAAACAACAGAAAACAACCCCAAACTTTTAATTATAATCTTAGGAAAAACACTTATCTAACTTGCTTGTTTTTTCTGTATAAATCCAACTTGCTTAAAGCTTACGGATGATGTCTGTTTAGCTAAATTTTGTCTTGATATGTCATTCATCTAAATGACAAACATTAGTACAAACAGAGCGGTAGATACTGTATTTTTAAAGCACATATTGATATTTGAGAGCAATTTAAAAGTTTATTTTTGAACTTCAACACAAGTTTAACAAAACAATCTCAGAATGAATCTAATCTTTTTCAAGAGCTTTCAACCACTTCAGCAGATGGAGTTTGCCCGGTTGTCATGGAGATAACTCAGTCCTCGAACCAAGATGGGGGTAAGTATCTCCCCCACCCCACATATGACCACCGGTTAGTTCATACCATGACAACTGAACAATCTGTGGATGAAGACTGCTCTAGAAAAGGATAGTAAGTGGATCATGAGTCAAGATTATGATACAGATTATGATAATTAAACTATTTTTTAATAAGTATCCCTTAAATGTTGGGTTGATATATACTGACCACCATCATCTCAGTGCTCTCTGGTGGACAAACCATTTAATGAAGACATCTAAATGACCTCATATATAGCTTTGTTGTTTTACTGCAGTTTCTTATGTACTGTATATCTTCCGTGACCATGTATCAGTCAGCAACTAGTGCAAACTATTGTTTAATTAGAAAATCTTTTTTGCTGGCAGTATACATGCTTTTTTAAGTGTCTGTTTTCCTTTTAGAGTCCACTGCTTCGCCTCTCTGATGGTTTCCATTATGTAGCAGGGCTAGAGCATATAAACAACTATATAACTGCCATGGGCCTGCTTGACTGCCATTGCTACTATCACTGATATTATTGTTATTGTTATTATTATTATTACTAATTACTAATTATTATTATTTCTGCGGTAACTGTTGTTGCTGTGGTCGCTGCTCGTTGTCCCCCATCGTTGTTGTTGTCGCTGTCGTCTTCTTCATATTCCTCATCATCAGTCACTATTCAATTCAATTCAATTCAATTTTATTCGTATAGTGCCAATTCATAACAGAAGTTATCTCAGGATACTTTCCAAATAGAGCAGGTCCAGACCGAACTCCTTATAACATTAATTACAGAGACCCAACAGTACCACCATGAGCAAGCACTTGGCGACGGGGGCAAGGATAACTGCCTGTTAAGAGGCAGAAACCTCAGACAGACCCTTCGGCTCAGACAGACAGGTGCACAGCAACAACAGTAGCAACAACAGTAGCAACAACTACACTAATAGTAGTGACTGATGATGATGAACATGAAGAAGATGATGACGGCGACGACAACAAC